AGTTAGGGCAAGGGCATGACAATGAACCCTAAACAATGATTTTTAAAATTCTATATGTTTATACATTCATTTGTTGGTCTGTGTGGCTTTTTTAACTATTTATACATTTGTTTGGCTGCCTTTCAATCTGTTCAGCTTTTTATCCTTACAACTTTTTGTTTGTGTGACCGTTTGTTTGTCGGTTTGGATGTTAGTCTGGTTTTCCGTTTATTTATTTGTATATGTGCCCGTTTGTATATTTGCTCGTTTGACTGTCTTCTTGTCTGGTTACTTTTCAAACTACTCATCTGTTTATTTTTTTGACTGTTCATCAATTCATCTGTTTATGTTTTTCCGCTTATATGTTAGTTGTTGCTTAGTTGGTCGATTCATTGGCCTGTTTGTCTCTTTGATTGACAATCTGTTTACCTTTTATGTCTGTTTGTCTATTTGACTGCTTGTCTATGTTTGTGACATCATGTGGTTCTACGTTTATATTGAATGATGCAACTAATTTCCCTCTATTTTCAGTATTTTAATATTAATATGAGTTACAAAAAGGATTTGAAGCTTTATAACTCCTATTTAATTATATACGAGTGTTTTCGACAGCTTGTCATGCTGTCATCATCGAGGCTCTACTCAAACTACATTTTGCAGTTTGAGTAAGATCTTAATGATGACAGCACGATCGGCGCTTGCATATAATTAAATACGAGTTATAAAGCTTCCAATCCATTTTTTGACTTATATTAATATTAAAATGCTGAAAATAAAGGAAAATTCGTTGCATCATTCAAAAAAACAAATAAATACATAAATAAATATAATATAGTTAATGTGATTCTTATATAATCAGAAATAATTATTGAATAACGAAATTAGTTAGCTCCCTAACTATATTATTGAAGGGAAGCTGTCGATACTGTTAAGAGGCAACATGTGATTCATGCACGACGGGGATCCAGCTCATTTTAGTNCAGGTGTAGGCCAACCTTGAGGTGTAAAGTCGATATGGCTGCCTAACGCGTAATTGCCTTGTTGCGAAACATTAAAATGTCCTGTTCATTGATCGGAAACAATACAGACTTTCCTAATACGAGTTGAACGAAGAACAATCGGGGCCGAAATAAACTGAATTGCTCAGCAAATCTGGGAGAGTTCATCAGCATAACGACATTGTCCTAATCGTCAAAAATAGAAAACTATATCCGTTCAAATTGTGATGTATCGCGATCGACGCTTTCCATAATGGGTACTCGTTAATCAAAGCCATTGTCGATTCCCCGAAACGCATCGCTAACGGATTCCAGTCTGATTGAAGTCGAAATAGAACGGGAAAATCCTTGATTATTGGATGAGATCTGTCGATTGTGGGGTGAAATTTCGATTTCTGTAGCTGAATCCTGCAAATTATTGTTTGACGTCAATGTTTGAGATGTGCCGCATGAAAGTGTGAACGAGTATGGAAATCAACAGAGATCAAGGAAAAAAAATGGATATTGCTTTAACTGATACAAAGTTTTTTGGGATAGTTCAGAATATATTCTTCAATTTGAACAAGATTCCAATTGATTGGTTTGAATCAAATGAGTATATAAATGCTTTTATGTATTGTCATCGATGACATGACTAGATTCAACTCATTCGTGACATGATGCTGTAATTTTATGAATGAATAAGCCTTTTCCTGAGAATAGTACAGCAAATGTGTCACGACAGTAGTAGGGACAAACAATAAACTATTCACATGTAAAACAGTGTTATTTACGTAATATTAATTCATCATTTAAAAATGTAGTTCTGATATGAATTCTGAAATGATTTTTCAAGTTGCACGCTAGCTCAGAACCACTATACCTACTCCTGAGCTCCGCGCTAACACTGTTTGGAAACACCTTTTTTTTTTCAAAAATTTCTGATATCATGAAGATCAAGTATTGGCAGGTGTGGTATCATAAAACGACCAGCAAGTTCACCAGACTTGCCTTCGATCGATTATTTTCTTGGGCTCATCTGAAATGGAAGTGTATCTGAACAGACCGATTGAATTTGGAGAACTTTGAAATTGTCACGATTTTACAGTACTGATATGGTTGATTTGTATATACAAATATATAGTCCAGTCATTATAGTAAGTTCACCTAGGAATTCAAGATACCCAGCTGTAAGTCTGTAAATACTTGTATATTGACACCTTGAAAGTTGTCTCAAAACCTACATATGGTAGGGTGTACGCAACTATTAAATTTCAAGGTCAAAGTTCGCAAAAATAATTTTTTTGCGCTATTTTTGTAAATATCTCATTTCCTATGGGTTTTTTGCTATTATCAATCTTGTAGAATACAAAATTCTCTACAAATTTTGTGAAAAAAATGTTTCATTCGGTAAACCGTTTTCGAGATAGAGGGCGGAGAGCGCGCGGTCACAGAATAACTTCGGATCAACCGGTGCCTCCGGTCGAAAACGCGCCATATATATTTGATGAACTATNAAACGCAGGTCATACTCGTACACCCGTAGGTTTCGAGACAACTTTAAGGGTGTCAATATACACGTATGTACAGACTTTTAGCTGGGTGTTTCGAATTGCGAGATTCTTACCTAATTTAAGCTTAAATGACTGGACCAATACCATTATAATGAATCAAGAGCTCAACAATGACAAACCCTCCATGAAGAACCGTTAATGAGTGGACGAAAACAACTACAGTATACCTCTTGAGTCGTAAAGTATATGCAAAACACAGTTTTACTTTTACCACAATGCCTGAATAATAACCCTAAATACATCCATAAATTTCTCCCAAACGATTAGTCATGTGGAGGAAATGACTGGTCATTTTTTCCATAAGTGTTTTACAAGCGCTCGGCTTCCACGAAAATTCTGGAATAAGTACTCTCTGAATAAATATGCCAGAGATTTTCATAATATGAACCTCGCGATACGAGTGATTACAGCTTTACAAATGGAATTACACTGGTCCGATGTATAACGACCAAAGCTGAATGAAATTGATTGTTTTGTTTTTGTGAGTAATTAGACCGAGCATAAAATAAACCAGGATATATTGACATTCAAGCGAGTTAATTGGATACAACATTTTTTTCAGACAAATTTATACAGTTCATTGAATGATTTTCACTTTGAAGGGTTTTACAAAAACCGCGACACGTGTTTCGCTGTACAACAGCTTCCTCAAGCGTAAACTCAAAGTTTCTTCTGAATTACAACTATTTCAACACGCTTTTATTAGCTTCACCTATATGTATGTATGTTTGTTGTTTGCAACTCTCAAGTTTGGGATCTGTATTTGACAGATTTAGCGACATTATTGCTTGATCTATTCGTGGGCAGATGTATGTATGTATGTATGTTTGTTTGTAACTCCCAAGCTCGGGATCTGCATTTGACAGAATTATCATAACTATATGATAGTAATAGCATATTTCATATGCTATAAAAGCGTGTTTTTTAGTCTTTTTGAACTATATTTATTTTATATATTAGGTAGGTTATGTACAGCGCCATCTGCCGGCGAATAGATCAAGCAATAATGTCGATAATTCTGTCAAGTACAGATCCCGAACTTTTGTTATACTTGCACTCATTTTTCATAGTTCTCTTTACAAAACATTACATGTTTCAAAATTATGTCTATTATTTGTTTCATATCTTCGATTTCTTATTTCCAAAGTTCTTTTTGTATTGGTGGTAGGGAACTGAGATGTGTTATCTTTCCGAAAGTCGAGATTTCGGTCATTCTTAACCTAAGCTTCTTCCTTATTATGTCATCTACAATACCCCTCGAGAAACCGTTAGTGGCTGCTATTTCCTGTATTGTACGTCTTTCCTTTGTGAACCTATCATGTGTTAGAGGGAAAGTCAAAAGACGATGCACTAAAAAATTCAACCCAGCATATTTATGCTGGGAAGTCCAAAAGACAAAGTCGAGAATTCGGAAAAGTCTGGAATTTACGAAATTGCAATGGACTGCGATGCAAAAAATTATGGACAGACAAAAAGATCTATTGAAGTTAGATGTAAGGAACACATAGCACACTTGAAATATGGAAGACCTGAAAAATCAGCAGTCGCCCATTATATTTTGCAACAAAACCATTCCATAGACTTCAGTTCAATAAGATTAGTTAGACAAGTTAACAACAACAGGCAACTAGATGCCTATGAGAACGTAGAAATAAGTAAACACAATAATATTATGGATAACGATGACGGACCTATACCATAGAGCATACTATATAGCTTGTTGAAATAAAATAATGTTGTTGGGTTTACTGATTACTACATAAGGACACATTGCAAAAATGAATTTGGATAGGCAATATTGTGAAATTAATTTTTATATATCTGAAAATTGTTTGATATGAACATAAATTGTAAAATAATAGATAAGGCAAAATTGTAAAACTAATTTAGGTTGGTATACCTGTATGGTTGGTACGCCTGGATGGTTTACCTGAATGGGTCACCTTTATTGCATAAATAGGGTTAGCTCGCATCAGTTTCTAGTTTTAATCTTCCTCTTTGAAGATGATCACTTGGTGATCGAAACAAGTATCGAGGTGTTAAAAATAACGATTTGGTGTTGGGAAAAAACTCCAGTAATATTAAGGATGTTTTTTCATCAATTTTAAGTACATACCTAAGTAAAATTTTATTAAGTGTTCCCTTATGGATAAAAAATTGTATAATTTCAAGTGTTTCCCTCAATTTCATAAACCCTTCTTCTTGACCACCAGAGGGCCTCGTGAAATGTACCTGTCCCACATTGTATTATTAGGTCTTGCGCCGCCACTGTTGTAACCTGTCAATTACAATAATCTAAAACTTCCCAAAATCCACAAAACTCTTTCCGGCCTATCAAAGTAGTCACAATCATGCATAACATTACCTGACATGTTCAATTGGAGCACCCCCTCGAGATACTCCCCCACCGTTATCCACTCGAATTTTCCCTCGGAAACTTGCTTGAAATGTTTTATTTTATATCTGGCAGGACCGTCGCCGTTTTCGTCGAAATGGAACCGGTCTCCGCTTAATCCTGCAAAAAATCAAATATTTCACTTCCTGCTACCGAGTCCTGCGAAAAATATCAAATATTTTATATCCTGCTGACGGATGATGGGAACGCATGTATAAAATCGTCAGATAAAAGTTTCGAATCTCGTGTAGAACGTGACCGCTGGTGATGCGAATTTATAGAGGTAGTTTCACGGTGGCCTCCGCGAAGGTTTTGAAAGGTGCAGCGACATTACTGTCGCGGCTTCTTTAACCTCCTTTGGGTACCCTCCGTGGAGGTGCACAAGTGAGGGAGCTTTCCTGCAGGGGCAGCCGGTTCCTTGCTTTCATTCAAGGCGGAGCTCTTGGCGCCCGTCGCAGGAAGTGCCCTTGCTGTTGGAGGTGGAGTGGGGAAGGAGGGAGGGTGCACTTATAGTTGCTGCCACTCCTGCCTCCTTCGCTCTCTTTCTCCTTTTGGCCTCGGCGCCGCAAATGCGCTTACACCTTGGCCTTTGTATTATATCACGAGGTAATCTGTCCAGCCTCATTCCAAGCGGTTGATTTGGGGTGGACATTTCTATTTATCCCCAGCCACCGCCTTGGATTGAGGTGAGCACTTCCGTCCAGCCTCGGGATTGGTTTTCGTTGTTTCTGTTTTCGTGTTTATTTCATCCATGTGTATTCCCACGAGTAGCAAGAGAAGAGTTGGTCACCTCTGGCAGAGCCCATCATTACCAGAAGTAGGCTGATTTCAATTAGGTTTCGCCCAGGGTGATATGCGGTTCGTAACCGCATATCACCCTGCGGCCATTCAGCTGTCGGCACGATTCCTTACACCTTAGCTTGGGTAGGCTGGTCCGCGGTGGCATGTTTCGCAAAGGTTTTTGGGGAGGTTAAGTTCCCCTCACCCTACTTAATTCTGCCAACGACCAGGAGTCTGGCGACCCCGTTCGTAAGGCCACATTGGCTTCCCGGACAGGGCCTCCAGTCCCCTGGCCGTTCCCCTATCCGCCACCTAGGGACGCGCCCAATAGGTAGCCCAACCCACGGGTAAGAAGTCCCCATTAGAAGACCCTTTATAGGCATTACCGCCACGTATGAGACACATTCTAGTTCGGAAAGTGCAGTGACATTTCAGCTAATAAGGCGATCGACATCTGAGCATCAGTCCGGAGTTCAGTTGAAATGTTTGTGTTGTATTGATGAAACTTTCCCTCAGGACTTTTGGGGGAATGAAACTAGTTGTTCCGACTGCAATAACTTCATTGTGGCTTCGATTCTTCATGGCTACAACTTTTGCATTTGACCAGGCGACCACTATAAATCATTACTAACAATTCATGCAAGTAGAATAAATCGTGAAGTTGAAAAAAATTGTTTGCATTGAAGCTAGATTTCGACTGTTTCAAGTTCAACCGGCAAATGGCATCAATATTTTTCAGAATGAAATCTAGAAGAAATAAGGAGTTTCCACACCTACACGCACATAATAAGGTACGAGGATCTGAAATCGTAGTTGATATTTTAACGGACAAACAAGCACTTTGCAACGAGCCATACAGAGAAAAATATTGAGGATGCCAGCCATTCATTACCGCAGCTAAGAGCTCACTCAGTAAAATACCATAGAGTAAGGAAGATAACAAAGCCGGTCCACTGTCTCTCTCACACAATCAGTTTGCAATAGGATTTGTCAGGTACGCCACCGCATAATTTTCAAGTGAAGGTTGGATCGCTCTGTAATTTGAATGTACCACGGCTGTGCAACGGAACGCGATTAGTCAATACGTTGTTGACACAACAACACAAATACCTGTTATACCAACATATATGCCAATCTCCTATTAGACTGGCGTTTGCAATGACTATTGATAAGTCTCAAGGCCACACAATGTCCGCTTGTGGCCTGGATTTAAGCACAGCATGTTTTTCACACGTACAATTATACGTTGCATGCTCTCGAGTGGGCAAACCATCCATTTTTTGTTAACTAAACTTGGACTAACGAAAAATACTGTACACACTATAGCATTGAGGGATTAATATTATTTTAAAGTGATAGAGATGGTGAGAAATACCAAAATCCCAGAGGAAGTGCTTCAAAAGGAAGTGAAATGAACACATGCAACAAAGGGTTTCAGTACATAGTGTAATAGTCAAATGAAGTTGAGTTCATTTTTACAGTATGGTCAATTATCATCAAACCTACGGGGAGAAACATAACAATATCAGAAATTTTAAATTAATCAAAATAAATAACATAAATCAGCTTCCAAGTGTTAATGAAAAGTGGACAGTGATAAATAAATCTCTCCCAAGTAGAGACCAAATCCCTCGCAGCTAAGCACCCTCACCTGTCCCGAGCGTCCCTGTCAGATAATTCGTTTATGATCCTGAGTGGAAACGTCGGCGAATTTTTAATCGGCAGGCATATTTTTCACTCGTGCCCTAATCGGTTTATCTCGCTTCCACACCACTCACGCCGTCATCAAATTGCGTTCAGCAAGACTTCTCCTATACTCTCGGTATTTTTNAAGTTATATTATACAATCATATTTGTAAATATGTTCATGTGTGTAAATGTGATGATTCAGTTTTTATTCATTTTGTTACATGACTCTACATTTATTTGTGACATTTGTGATATTTATTTGTGTGTGATATTTAAGTGACGTGCCAAATATACACTATTGTATCAAATATTGGTAAATAAATATTCTATTCTATTATATTCTATAAGAGTTGTTCCTTCAAAGTTCAAAATATCGTCATATGATCAACATTTAGCTGGAAAGCAATCTTTCTAGTACTGGTAGTAGGTTGTTCTTCGATCAAATTAAGTACTGCTTCCTCAAGTTGTGGTGTTCGTACTTCTTGATGGCGAACACAATCCTGCGTTCTTTTGTCGAATTAACCATATTCTCGTAATCGTTGATGAAGTCGAGCAAATATTTTATGTGAAGGATGCTGTTGAGGTTCATTTAAGCATATCTTCTGAAAGCTTCTAACCCATTCTCCTGCGACAGACCGTAAATGTAATGGATATCAACCATTTCCTCATTTGTGTATGCTATTTTTATAACAAGTGAATTATTAAAGTAACAAATTAAGAACAGAACAACAACACACAATTAGTATTAATTCAATATCAAAAATTCACAAACTGACAACGTCATACCAATTTAATCGTCAGAATCGCTAATAGCGACCTACTAGATAGATTAGTTCCGTATTTTCGCATTTATGACGATGTATCTCTGTAGTCGTTCATGAAATAATTTTTTGCTGCGAATCGATATTCTATTCTATTCCAATTGAAAATTCACCTTGAGCTTTGTAGCTTTCCATTTTACCCGCTCAAATTAAAATTCAAAGTCGATCTGCACCGGTTTCGCTCTTAGTCTCGCCTCTAGCAATATTTTCCGATATTGTTTCGCGAAATAGGTTTAAAATAGATTTAGAAAAACCAATTTCGCCGCTTGAAGAAAGAATGGCGTAGACGGATCGGTTATTGTGAATTTCCGATTGAATGAAGGCCTTCTACGCGATTGATGGAAATGAAATTTGTTTCCATAGCGGAACGATCATGGTATAAATCAAGGAGGCTGTCATTTCGCGCGACGGAGCACCGAGAGGTGCGGAATTGGCTGGATTTGCCGAATTATTTATGCCGTCGCGACGCGAGCGGTTTTGACTAGGCACGACGCTGCAGTCTTGCTGATTTATCGCTTGGATTGATTCCGGCATAGTTGCTTTGTTGCAGGCGACAACACTGTCATACATATTGTGAATCTATAAGCTACAATTATAATTTGACCAGCCATAGATTGGACAAAATAGACCTTCCAGTTTGCAGCAATGCCCTACAAGCTGGATTTTTTACAGAGCTTGTATATGCCATTCTAAATGAAATGCCAAAAGTAACGATCCCGCTAGTGCGCTGTTTTTTATTCGAGATCAAGGGTCACAAATTTTTGTTTTTGCGTATACCTCTTGAATAGTGAAAGCTACCGAAAGCATTCTCAACATTTCAAGTGTTTTTGAGCACTCGAATCTTTTTTTACGGCTTGTCTGTCCATCGGTGGTTCCATCAGTACCATACCGTTAGCGGCCATAGAGATTCTTCTAGATTGATCTCCTCTCTAGATTTTTCTAGAAAGAGAGGCTAGATGGACTGCATACAGACTTGTTTCACATTGCCAATTGCACAAATCAATTCAATGCAGAGTGCAACAGACTTGGTTGACGCTGGAAGTCACAGCATTTTGGAAACAACCTCTGACTTTATTTGTTTGAAGGTGGTTGACAATGTTTCGTGGTGTATTTCATCAGTTCGGACTTCCATTGTCTATAGTCCGTTCATAATTTGTCGATAGCACAAAATGAGGGCCCAAGTCATAAAACGGTCGTAAAACTCGTAAAATCATAGTCGGAGGTTCCCGAGGTGTTTATTCATTAAATATAAAGCTTCAGTTTATATTCGAAACTTGCCTTGAAAGGGTGAAGTTGTTACGAACGAAAATAATTTTTGGTTTAGTACATTTTTTAATCGCATTNCACAGAAAAGCCCGCCGGAGGCGCGAAATTTTTTATGTTGTTGCACGCTTTGCTTAATACTAAAGTTAGGGCATGGGCATGACAATGCGTAAAAAGTGCATGAGGAGCTATGGACTTTATTTTAGAAATAAAAGAAGTTATGACGGAATTCCCGTTTTTTTTGGGTCCCCCCTCGTATTGCTTGCCATTGACGATGATGGCCTGGCTAACGTCGCTCTCAAAGAAATATGGCCCGATGACGCCGCCAGCCCAAAATCCACACCAAACAGTGACTTTTTCGCGATGATTTGGATGCTCTTGGATCTCATGTGGATTGGTATCGTCCCAAATGTGACAAGATGATTTTTTTATAGAAATTAGTAACAGTTGCCAATTGCTCCAGAGCCCATTCAGTGAACACACGTCATTGTCTATGGTCGTTACCATTCAGTTCCTAGGTCAGTGGACTTTTGTTAGGGTGCAGGCTCAAGTCACGATGCAAAATTCCCCAAGTTATGTTCTGCTAAAAGCCGGATTCTTGTGAGCGACACCAAATCGACTGCCTTGGATTCTCCTGCATACTCTCACAGACAGCGGCATTTCATCGACCTGAGGGTGTTGGTCAATCGTTTACTGAACCAGTGGACTCACACTCACTCACACCACATTACAAGTTGTCCTCTCGGTAGGACGACTATGGGGACCGCAAAATGGACGAAGCGTTACCCAAACAGAACACCCATTTTGATGAAACAATTTTCTCATTTGCACATGTTGTTGAATGCTATATCCGTTCGCGGTAATTTGGCAAAATAGACTGAATGAATGACTAATTTGACAGATATAGGGTCAAAGTTAGGAAGTCCCTATCTGTATCTGTAGAGTAGGGAAGCACTTAGGCCACATGTGACCCATTGTACATCCTCCCGAGGAGTTGTCCTCCTAGGTCATCGTCCATCCTGTTCATTCCAGAAAGGTGGACAGGTCTCTGAGAGACATCTCTTTTATATCGGCAGGTGTAGGCCAACCTTGAGGTGTTTCACGGTGGCCTCCGCGAAGGTTTTGAAAGGTGCAGCGACATTACTGTCATTGCGCGGCTTCTTTAACCTTCTTGGGGTACCCTCCGTGGAGGTGCACAAGTGAGGGAGCTTTCCTGCAGGGGCAGCCGGTTCCTTGCTTTCATTCAAGGCGGAGCTCTTGGCGCCCGCCGCAGGAAGTGCTCTTGCTGTTGGAGGTGGCGTGGGGAAAAGGAGGGTTGCTGCCACTCTTGCCTCCTTCGCTCTCTTTCCCCTTTTGGCCTCGGCGCCGCAAATGCGCTCAAGCCTTGGCCTTTGTATTACATCACGAGGTGATCTGCTATGTCCAGCCTCATTCCAAGCGGTAGATTGGGGTGGACATTTCTGTTCATCCCCAACCACCGCCTTAGATTGAGGTGAGCACTTCTGACCAGCTTCGGGATTAGTTTTTGTTGATTCTGTTTTCGTGTTTGTTTCATTCATGTGTGTTCCCACGAGTAGCAAGGGAAGAGTTGGTCACCTCTGGCAGAGCCCCGTATTACCAGAGGTAGGCTGATTACAATGAGGTTTCGCCCAGTTCCTCAAGGGGATCGTTCGTAACCGCATATAACCCTGCGGCCATTCAGCTGTCGGCACGATTCCTTACACTTTAGCTTGGGTAGGCTGGTCTGCGGTGGCATGTTTTGCAAAGGTTTTTGGGGAGTTTAAGTTCCCCTCACCCTACCTATTTCTGCCAACGACCAGGAGTCTGGCGACCCTGTCCGTAAGGCCACATTGGCTTCCCGGACAGGGCCTCCAGTCCCCTGGCCGTTCCCCTATCCGCCACCTAGGGACGCGCCCAATAGGTAGCCCAACCCACGGGTGAGAAGTCCCTATTAGAAGGCCCTGTATAGGCATTACCGCCACACATTCTAGTTCGGAAAGTGCAGTGACAATTCAGCTAATAAGGCGATCGACATCTGAGCATCAGTCTGGAGAACTTAACAGATTGTCTCTGCTGATTCCCTTGCAAAGAAGGGTGCTGCAAGCAGCTTTATCGGACCAGAATCTGTCATTGGCATCGCTTCAGGCTTTGCCAAACAAAAATTGATCACCTGGATGGCAAGAAGATTTATGGACTTCTGTCAGAATCTTCCCGGATTGACTCACTCCTAGGTGTTTATTCACACTTTGAAGCTTGATACCAAACAGTTGTTGGACTACAGTAGGGATGAACTACGATGCCTAACAGGCCTTCCTACAGGTCACTGTCATTTGAAGACAGTGTGTGTCGCTTCTGTTTCGAAAATGATGAAACATCAGAGCACATACTTTGTGGCTGACTCGCTGGGGACCGAATCAGGTTTTTAGAGTTCGGCAGGGACGTACTCTTATCATTTGACCTAAAAGACCACCCATCTTACGAACTAATCGGCTTCGTTCAGAATCTGTGTTCATTTGGTTGAGTGTAAATAGGTGTGAGCTACAATAAACCCTTGCGGGTTGCGGTGGAGGGTCAAATAGACCCACTCACTTTGGACCTTTGGAACATTAATGCCTCTCACCTAAACAGCTGAAACTGAACATATGTTCGAGACGAGTGTACAAAAAATCGCCAATCAAATGTACGTTGCCCACGAAATTTGAACATTCACCTTATTTTTTGAACATACCCCGTATTTTGTATCGATCTTGTATATTGCCGATATCAGTTAAATGCAAATATGACAAGTAATCATCGAAAGCTATTATAAAAATATGTGATTGGTTGAATTAGTTGAGAAGGATTGCTCAGTCGATACTCAATATGGGAAGACATCATCGATAGGATCGACAGAGAACTCAATCCTCGAATATCAAAGATGAACGAACAAGGCTCCACAAGGCGGTCAGTTGCAAAGCCAAGCTTCGACATCGACTTCTGGAGAGATTCGTCCTCTGTCTTTCACTGCAAGACAACACTTCGAACACCGGAGCCCAGAGATACTGAGGTATCCTCATAAGATTGATATATTCCATCGCAGAATTTCTTGTAGGCTTATAAAAGGAGAACAGTGTCTACTGAATTGTTTTGTTATACCACAAAAGGAGTACGTAGCGGTTTGTTGACAGTTCGCACTTGTCTTTCTACAACTTCGACTTCTCATAGATAACGTCGATATACGAATGTGGTCCCAGAAGTACCTGGCTTGACCTAGAGATGGCTGTAGTTGTTCGAAAAATATCACTGTATTGAAAAGTTCACAATCTACAAAGCATATGATTCAAGTTTGAAGACGTTGCGTTGTTTAGTATTTGTTTGGCAGCCATCAATAGCATACGTTTCCGATTAATTTGTCAAAATGGAGAAAACTGGTCATCGTTATGTGGTACAATACTTTTATTTGAAAGGCCTCAACCCAACCAATATAAAATTCGAACTGAATTCCATTCTGAGTGAGTCGGCTCCTTCGTTTACAACAGTGTTTGAACGAGGCCGCACGAGCTGCCAAGGCGAGCAGTGATCAATCAAATGGGGTGAAGACACCAGTAACGGTGAAGAAAATCCGAGAAGCGGTACTGTATAATCGTTGACTGAGAGTGAGCTAGCAGACTCAGTAGACATTTCAAAAAGTGCGGTTGTAATATAGCTAGCAGAGTTCCTACCCAAAATCCCATCCTTTTTCCTATAAAATAGGAGAGTTATCCTTGGTATAAAATTCCTGCATAAATTACTTAACAACAATATTGACAGTACGGTTCTTTTACCCGAGATCAATTTCTTAATACCAAGAAGTGAAGGTCGACACAATCTGAAATTCTATTGCGAAGCATCGT